CTAAGTGTCCATCAACAGATGAATGAAGAAAACATGGTGTATATATATACAATGGAATATTATTCAGCCATAAAAGGAAGGAAATTCTGCCATTTGCAAAAATACAGATGGAGGGGCTGGCCCAGTGGCCGAGCGGTTAAGTTCGCGTGCTCCGCTGCCGCGGCCCAGGGTTCGGATCCTGGGCACGGACATGGCACTGCTCGTCAGGTCATGTTGAGGCGGCGTCCCACATACCACAACTAGAAGGACCCACAACTAAGATATACAACTATGTACAGGGGAGTTTGGGGAGATAAAGCAGAAAAAAAAAAAAAAGAAAGAAAGATTGGCAACAGTTGTTAGCTCAGGTGCCAATATTTAAAAAAAAAATATAGACGGACCTTGAGGCATTATGCTAAGTGAAATATGTAGACAAATACTGTACGCTCTCACTTATATGTGGAATCTAAAAAAAACAAACCAAAAAACTGAGCTCATAGTAAACAGGTTGGTAGTTGCCACAGGCAGGGGGTGGGGAACGGGTGAAATGAGCGAAGGCGGTCAAAAGGTACAAACTTGCAGTTATAAAATAAATGTCATGGGGATGTAACGTACAGCATGGTGACTATAGTTAACAATATTGTATATTTGAAAGTTGCTAGGAGAGTAAATCTGAAAACTTTTCATCACAAGAAAAATTTGTAAATTTGTGTTGACGGATGTTAGCTAGACTTAACCATTTCACAATATACATATATCAAGTCATTAGGTTGTACATCTGAAACTCATATATGTCAATTATATCTCAATAAAAAAAATAGTGACTGAACCTGCCAGGTAGTCTGCTGGGGAAGGATTCTCAAAGGCTCATGTGACAAATGAGATAAGTATTTGCTAGCACTGACCACGTATTTTCTAGACCTTGGTCTCGGTGCTGTGGACACAGTGAACAACATAGGTAAAAATCCTTGCCTTCAGAGAACTGAAGTCTCCGTGTGTGTATGTGTGTGGTCTATTCAGCTATTATGATTAATATGCTGACATGGCCTGACTTTGGGAACCTTGCTTAGCTCAGATAAGATGGATCATGTGATCTTGAATTCCCTTCCAGCTTTAAATTTTCAAAAATGCTGACAATGATGAGGCATAATTATCAAAGTATTTGCTACGTAAGGATAAGGAATCCCTTTGCTCTTAAAATGGTATATTTTGGTCCAGAAATCAGCAGTCCATAGACTTTCCCAACTCATCTTTGTGTCCTTCCTTAGATCTATTTGTATAGGAGATGTTGTCAGGGTCCCACCCATGTTCCCTCAGCCCTTCCTGAAGGTCGTTTGCTGACAGTTTCTGTAAATGCCAATGTCTTCCTGTGCCTCTCTCCCTCTCGGTCAAAGGGAACAAACTTTGCCACATACAGGGCAAGATGGAACTTCAGGGAGTTGATGCCCTAGGAACAACTCTCAACCAATGAGGTTTAGGAGCTGGAGGATAAATACCCCAGCCTCCTCACCCGTAGAAGGACAATTCTAGAGTGTTCCTCCCAGAAGGTCTCCAGTGGGAATGGGCCCCAGTTGCCCATAGTGGTGACCCATTCATTAAAACACACCTTTTTTTTTTTTTTACTTCTCCCCTCTCTTTGTGTCACTTCTCCACTCCGCCATGTTGAGTGAGCTTCCTGGGATCATCTCCCAAATAAAGTACTTGTATCTAAGTTTTTGTCTTAGATTCTCCTTTTAGCGGAACCCACACTAAGGTAATATATTCATCTGACTTGGAAATACAACTCAAAATGCACACATTTCAAGGCTCAAGTTGACTGACTTTCCCGAACAATTTGGATTTGTACTATATCATGTCACTTTCACAGAACTGCTTCTGCTTGTACATTTTGTACCTGCTTCAGACCAAATGGATCTTTTCTCTGCCTGGTGTCTCATTACCATTTCTTTGATGTCACAATGCTATTCATTTGACTGGTTTGACCAAAGAGTCTGAACTCATTGGGTTGTTAACTTCATGGAATTATTTTATTTTTCCAGTAATTTCTACTGAGTGTGTTCTTCACAGTGGGTAATGGGAACACAACCATAACTCAGTCTGCTTTCATCTATCTAATCCATTTAAAAACCAGTCAACCTCATTCTAAATCAAAATAACTCCCCTCTCTTTCGCTTGGGCTAAACTTGTGTCAGAGAAAGAGAGAGGCAGCAGTGGCAAGGAAGCAGCAGGGGACACGGTATGCTCTCTTATTCCCTCTTTCTTTCTTCTAAATCCCTCCCCCAAACCATGGGGTCCCACACTAACACATGGCCCAAACCCACGGGGAGCAGTCGGGAAGGGAGGATCCGGTAACCCATCTGGCTTACAGTTCGATACCTTGGAGATCCTGTTAGAAGAAAGGGAGATGCTTGAATTTTCTTTGTCTCAGCCTGAAGACTATAGCCTATGCTGTTTAGAGTGGTCTTGGTGTAGATGGTATGTGTAATTTTTAGAGTAAGGTTCAGCTCCACCCTGACCCCTTCTCTGTGCCGAAAAGCAGCCACACCTCCCTTTAGTTCCCGTCACGGTGCATGCCTCCAATGCACTTTCCAAGTTGAGAATCCCACTACTTAGTTAAGTGGTTGACGTGTTCCCTGTTCCCTCTCCATGCTCCAGCATAGCCAAAGGAACCTGGTGTCTTCCTCCATGTCCCACAATGGCTTCTGGGACCTGCCTGGGGGAGGTTGCCTCCATTCTTTCTTCCCTGGCACACGATATACTACATCCTTTCTCTTGCTATCTCAGGCTATTTCCTGAGGGTTTTCATCTTTTAAAAATTTCAAGATGTGAAATGAAGTCTTTATATACAAGTGTCCCTCTCAACTTCATGGGATAAATATTAATGTCTTCCTTATCACCCAAGAAGAAGAGAGGCCTAGCATTCTCTTCAGGCGGCCAGAGAGCTCTCACCACACTTTCTCTAACCTAGAATAATTTCCTTTTTATGTCGTTTATTGATAAAGCCTTCAGATCAGATCAGTATCTTTGGAACAGGAAAATGGGGTGGGAGTCTTTAGCTATGAATCTGACTTTCCTTGAATTTGGCCTTCCAGAATTCAATAATTTTTTTCTCAATAGTGATATTTACATCACATTGTTACACTGTTTGTAACCTGTGGGGATGGGAATATTTGTCTTTGATTCATGTCATCATGTTGTTACAATTAACTTTATACCAACTCATTTGCATTCCCCAAGATCATAAAGAAAGTATTCTTGGTTACTCAAGAAAACAAATTTGGGAAATCACTAGTTTCTAACAACACGATGGGAAAAAGGCAAATGTTTATTTTTATTTGCAAGTGCAGTTTCTGCCAATAGCTAGTGCTCACAAAACCTTTTAAGCTACAGTAACATTTGGTAAACTCAATGAATACTTTAAAAAACACCCAGTGATAAGAAAATTACAGAAAAATTTCCATTAACCTGTTGAAAATGTTTGGAATCCAAAATTCACTATTTCCTGCAATGGTTTTTAATATTTATTCGGGTTAAAAAAAGATTTCCTTTTTCTTTTCTTTCTACTTCTACATAGTCCTGGTTGAATTAATACAATCTGTTCCATGAACTTTTAGGACTGCCACTTTCTGGATTTAGAATGTTTTTATTCTTACATATTTCTATTAATATTTTAATATTTTACATAAAACATTGATTTCTTATGTTTTATGAAACAAAATCATAGATTCTATTTATGGTGACACATTTCCCATTTGGGGGAAAACTGAAAAACTAATCAGTAGAAGGTCATTTTATGCCTTTTTTTCCTTTCTTAACTATAATAAATAATTAGCAACCTATTAATTACAAAAATTCTTAATTATGCTTAGAGCAACCAGAGCGTTTTCACGAATTTAAATTCATATTTGTTACAGTATGCGAAGTCATTAAGAAAAGCCTCTGGTTTTCCAGTTTGGTAACAAATGGCTTTTGTCTGATGCATAATTAATAGAAACTAATGATGACTATGTAGCTCTTCCAGAGTTTTAAAGGCAAATCTATATTGGCCTACGGTTAACATGCAAATTCATCCAACAAGCAACACAAAATGTATTACAGTAGTCATTCATTTTTATCAACATTCAAGAAGATCTAGTCAGCAGCACAACTCTCCTATGTCGGAAACACATTATAACATGGTCACAACTGAGTCAGTTCACATCTGGTAAGATACCCCCTTCCTAATCCATCCTCTAGAGGCAGTTCAGACTTCCAGCACAATACATGAACAATTGCAATTAATACTGGGGACAAAGGTAAATACAGACAAGAGTTTGGTGTGCTAGCACACAAAGTTTTAAAAACAGTGACAAACAAAACCAAACATCTTGCCCTGTTCTCTCTCCTTTCCCTTTGTGAGACTGGAATTCTCATGGCCTTGTTGAAACATTCACTTTGGGGAAGTGAGGCCAATGATCCTAGCACTGAAATTGGTCCTTGGGAGGGAAATTTGGCCACAAGGGGATGTTGTACCCATTTGAGAGAGGGCAGTAGGAAGACACCCTGCTGTGCAAAAAATGGTTGGTGACTAACAGCCTTGAAGGAAAATGTGATTTTTCAAAATATTTAGCTTTATCCCAAGGAGTAGTTTGGTGGTATACTGTGGCTCAAATTTTATTTTATTATTTTTGGTTGGATAAATGAAATGTGCACCACCATCACCATCACTCTTAATTCTTCTTCCATCACATAAGACACTTGTTAAGATAAGAAAGATATTCTACTAAAGCTGACGGTGATAGAGAGTCATTCAGTATTCAAAGTTCCTAAAGAGTCGTTGGTTCTCTGAAAGGGATAAAAAAGTAGGAAAGGCTTTGTTCAAACTCTTGCTAGTAAACAAGTCTTACCTCAACTGATACAATGGCTACGTGACATCAAAGTACTATAAATTATCAAAACTATCGTACAGAAAAATTACAAATTCATTGCAAAATACATTACACTGCTACCATTAAGAAAAAAGTGCTTTTTGTTTTCCTTTCTTTTTTTTTTTTTGCCAGAAAAGTATTCTTTCAATATAGAAAATCCTATGCGTTACCCTGCATGTGGCTAGGATGTATCATAACGGAGTTTGTACTGAGTCTTTCTGATTTGCTGAATGAAGGGCTGAAAAATATAATAATGACTTATTAAAGCAGTGTTCCAAATGACCACGCCAGCTGTCAGTGGAGAGATGCCTGTTTAAGACCCAAGAAGATGCCCTGGTCTGTTGAACCCTGCTGGTCATCACACTGTCCCACCAATCAGCTGGTCTAGAATGCACAGGCCTTTGCACGTTCTGTGGTTTCCTCGTGTTCTCCTGAATTACTCTCATGTCCTCATCTAGCTTTGTCACCTGCATGAATCCCCTGCTCAGTGATGCCTGTATTGTCTCATGAGGGGAACGATGCAAGATGGTGGACCTGCTAGTTTCAAGAAGGGATGTCCGAGGAGTTCCTGGGCTGTGGCTCTTTGGGAAGGCTCCCTCACCAACATCAGGTCTAGGAATCCCCGGAGCACTGAAGAAACCTGCGAAAACACAAGATGCCATCCTGAGGACGAACACCGAAACCCAAGCCAGTTCTCCCAAACGGTTTCCCAGCTAATTCCCAGGAAAGTCATTCTATCAACAACATCACATTCTAGAAAGTCAGCTTGAGGAGAAAGATGTTATGGAAGCAAAAGGCAGGTATTGCCTTTATTAACATATGATGTTTTCCTTACCTTCTTGAAGTTTGAAATAATAGGCGTAAATGACAGTGAATGCCATTTACAATGACAATGAAGAATGATAATTTATTTACTAAGTAAAATAATAATGATGATAATATTGCTAATAGCAGCTATAATGAAGCCTTGACTATGTACAGGCACTGGTCATACATGTTTGATGGAGTGTGGTATTAACATAGAATAGTTTAATTTTTATAACAATTCAACCATCTAGGCTCTGTGGCATCCCCTTTCTTGAAGAGAAACAAGCTTCTGTAAGGATTTCTGAGACAGACAGCATTTTTCCTTTAATTTCTTATAATTTACTTTCTGAGGTATATCTTACATACATTCAAGTGCATAAATATTAAGTGTATGTTTTACATAGTTTTTTTTTACATATTTTACACCTATATTTCCCCACCCCTATCAAAATATAGAACATTTCTACCACTCCAGGAGGCTATCTCAGGCCAGCTTCCTGTCAATACCCATCTCCCTGCAAAGGGATAAAACTTTGGCCACACACTCCAGGGATGAATCTCACAGACATGATGCTGAGTCATATACTCTCAACTCTTCTCTATCTGGCTTCTTCCCCTCAAAGTTGTTTCTGTGAGATTCATCCCTGATGTGTGTGGCCAACGTTTTATCCTTTTCATTGCTCTGTAGTAGTCACTGTTGAATTATACCACATTTTATTTATCTATTTGGGAAACAACTTTGGGCAGTTTTCCGTTTTTGACCATTAGGATTAAAGCTGCTCTCATACGTGACTTTGAAGAACATCACACTCATTTCTATTGGGTGTGGGACTATTTTGATACCATACTATTTTAGCCACTTTTCATTATTCAAACTTTGTTCAATGCAGTAAAAGTTTTAATCTCCTGTTCAATTCAAGCAGTTTCCTTTTTTTGTTTTTTTTTTGGTCCACAGAACCTATATGAGTGATTCTATTGGGGGTTTTCCCTAAGATTTAGGGGTAGGGGGAATGTTGTCAAGATGGCAGCATAGGCAGACTCTGAACTCACCTCCTCCCAAGGACACAACAAATTTAATTTACAACTACTCGTGGAACAATTACCCCGAGAGAGAACTGAAAACTGACTAAAAAGGACCCCTGCAACAAGGAACAGTGCTGACAGACGTGGAAGAGGCAGAAATTCCATTCTGAAGAGAAAAAAGCCACCTTCACAAGCTGCAGCGCTTCACAGCTGGCTAGGAGCAATCCTAAGGTATGAAGCCTTCCCCAGAGGACTGGGGGATCTGAGCGGGGGAGCGTTACCACTATAAGCACCTTTCAGACACAGCACAACCAAGACAAGTGTCGTACGGCTATTACCTACAACGGGGAGTATCCCCAGAAAAAGCTATCAGACATAAGGGAAAGAAAAGCCTGCTCTTAAAGGACCCATGCATAAATTCATCTGTTTCAGAAAGCAACCTAAAATCACCAGAAAGGTGCACAGTCCTTTGGTGAAAAGAGACTCACCTGATAGGCTGTGGGTGCATCTCAGTGAGAAGTGAGACCTCTCCAGGCACTGAGACATTGGCAGCAGCCATTATTGTGACCTAGTACAGGCATGCTGACACAGATGCTGGCAGACTCCATTGGAGTTCTTCCCCTGGCCTATTAGCACAGGGGTCTGCCCCATCCAATAAACACTGATTTAATTCAGCTCAGCCAGGGTAGGTAGTCCACCCTTGGGACTGGCCCCACACAACAGCAAGCCCTCAGGCAACTTGTGGGCTCTGCATAGCATAGGTCGGGTATCTGGAACCTCTGCAGCCCAATGAGTAGGTCTGCCTCTGTGGGGCAAGGCATACATGAGGAGCAAGAAGAGGGTGTGAGACATTGGTGGAGTGTGTGAGGCCTCTGCAGTGGGGCCACTGGGTCTGCTTCAGTGGGTCAGGGTATGTGCCCAGGGCAGGACTGTGTTGATGGGGAGTGTGGCCCTGTGGGCAGTGGGGCTTCTCAGCTGCAGCAGACTTGTGCTTCTCGAACAGCCACATAGGAAATCAGACTTGAAACAACTTGAAACAACTTCCAAAACTTGAAACAACTGAGTGCTCCCATGCCTGGGGCTGGCCCCACTCAGCTGCAATCCTGAGAGAGCTGACAAGAGCCTTGCAGGCCAGAGGCCTACAGCAATTGCAAGCCCCTCAGCCTAACAAACAGCCACGCTGGGGGGACTACTCACTTAAGAGAAAAACTACCACAGGAACATGCTATTAGACCTTGCAGCCAACTGTGCTGTAATTCCCCATGGCCAATAAAGTGACTGAAGGGTCCATAGCAGCCACACACAGCTGATATTACAACCAGGCAGACAGGGGGACAGCCTAGCCTTCCTGGGCACCTGCAGCAAGAGCAACCCTGTCACAACAGAAGGATACATGTACCCCACACAGGGGACATTCCTGGAACATCTGGAACTGGTGATGAGAGGGAAGCACAATGCTGAGCCTCATAAGGCATCTCTTACACAAGACCACCTCTCCAAGATTGGGAGATGTAGCTGACCTACCTAATACAAAGAAATAAGCACAGAGAAAGAGGCAAAATGAGGAGGCAAAGGAATATGTTTCAAGTAAGAGATCAGGACAAAACCTCAAAATCAAACTAAATGAAACAGAAATAATCTACCTGACAAAGAGTTCAAACAAAAAGTCATAATGACGCTCATTGATCTTGGGAGAAGAATGGGTGAACTTAGTGAGAACTTCAACAAAGAATTGGAGAATATAAAAAAGAACCAATCAGAAATGAAGAATACAATGTTGGAAATGAAAAATTCTCTAGAGGGATCAATAGCAGAGTAGATGATACAGAAGAGCAGATCAGTGAGCTGGACAAAAGACCAGAGGAAATCACCCAAGCTGAACAGATAAAAGAAAAAGAATTAAAAAGAATGAGGACAGTCTAAGGAACCTCTGGGACAACATCAAGCACACTAACACTCATCGTATAGGTGTCCTAGAAGGAGAATAGAGAGACAAAAGGGGAGAGGATCTATCTGAAGAAACAATAGCTGAAAACTTTCCTAACGTAAAGAAGGAAATGGATATGCAGGTGCAGGAATTATAGAGATCACCAAACAAGTTAAACCCAAAGAGGCCCACATCAAGCCACATTATAATTAAAATGCCAAGAATTAAAGATAAAGAGAGAATCCTAAAAGCCGCAAGAGAAATACAACAACTTACATACAAAGGAAATCCCATAAGGCTATCAGCTGACTTCTCAGCAGAAACCTCACAGGCTAAAGGGAGTGGCACACTATATTTAAAGTGCTGAAAGGGAAAAACCTACAGCCAAGAATACTCTACCCCACAAGGTCCTCATTCAGAATGGAAGGAGATATAAAGAATTTCTCAGACAAGCAAAAACTAGTGGAGTTTATCACCATGAAACCAGCCCTATAAGAAATGCTAAAGGGACTTATTTAAGTGGGAAAGAGAATCTCACAAACAGGAATAAGAAAATTATTTTAAAAAAGCAATAAATTCACTGGTAAAGGCAAATATACAGTAAAGGTAGCAGCTCAACCACCAATGAAGATAATATGAAGGTCAAAATACGAAAGTACAAAAATTATCTATTTTCATGATAAGAGGGTAATAGATACACAGACACACACAGACAAAGAGGTTAGATATAATATAAAAAAACATAAAATCTGGGAAGAAAGGAGTAAAAGAGTAGAGCTTTTAGCAAGAGGTCAAACTATAGAGACAATCAACTTAATATAGATTGCTATATACATAGGTTATTATATATGAACCTCATGGTAATCGAAAACCAGAAACCTATAATAATTACACAAAAAATTAAGAGAAAGGAACCCAAACATAATACTAAATTATTATAGCTACTTTAAATGTCAATGGACTAAATGCTCCAATCAAAAGGCACACGGTGACAGATTGGATAAAAATACAAGATCCATATATATGCTGCATATAAGAGACACACTTCCAACCTAAAGACACTCACAAACTGAAAGTGAAGAGATGGAAAAAGACACTCCATGCAAATGGCAATGAAAAGAAAGCTGAAGTAGCAATATTTATATCAGACAAAATAGACTTTAAAACAAAAACTGTAACAAGAGACAAAGCAGGGCACTACATAATAATATAGGGAACAATCCAACAAGAGGATATAACACTTGTAAATATCTATGCACCTAATATAGGAGCACCTAAATATAGAAAGCAATTATTAACAGACATAAAAGAAAAACTAGACAGTAACACAATAATAGTAGGGGATTTTAACTCTCCACTTACACCAATGGATAAATCATCCAAACAGAAGATCAATAAGGAGACACTGGCCTTAAATGACACATTAGACCAGATGGACTTAGTATATATATACAGAGCATTCCCTCCAAAAACCACAGAACACACATTCCTTTCAAATACACATGGAACATTCTCTAGAATAGATCACATAAATAGGCCACAAAACAAGTTTCAATAAATTTAAGAAAACTGAAATAATGCCAAGCATCTTTTCTGACCACAATGGTATGAAACTAGAAATCAACTACAGGAAGAAAATCAGAAAAGCCACAACTATGTAGAGATCAAACAAAATGCTGTTGAACAATGATTGGGTCAATGAAGAAATCAAAGGAGAAATCAAAAAATACCTGGAGACAAATGAAATACAACATGCCAAAGTTTAGGGGACACAGCAAAAGTGGTTCTAAGAGGGAAGTTTACAGCAAAACAGGTTTCCCTCAACAAACAAGAAAAATCTCAAATAAGCAATCTAACAGTGCACCTAAAGGAAATGGAAAAAG